CTTGGTGTCTTCAGTCGGCTGTTAATGTTGGACTTAATGTAAATTAGCTAAGAGAGCATAAGTTTTGGCCCATTTTCTCATTGAGAATAACTGAATACCACAAACCAATTAATTTATAATAAATAAAAATCTATGTGGTTTATGATTCTTAAGGCTCATGTTGAAGCAGCCATAGCTGGTAAGGGCCTTCTTGCTGGTTGCAGCTCTGTGCCAGTTTCCAAAGTGTGCAGGACATCACATAGCAAGATGACAAGAGCAGCGTGTGTCCACTCTGGTCTCCTTCTAAAGTCACTTATTCAATCACAGGGACCCCACTCTGAAGACCTTATCTATTAGGTCATTGGGAAAGTCAAGACACATTTTTCTATGCAAAAATGCATTATGACCTTCCTGACGACACAATCATTCTAGTTACTTTCCAAAGACTCTACCTCTCAGTTTGGTTAAACCACATTTTCGTTCTCTAGTACCATCACAATAAAACCAAATTTCAACACCAGCATTTTAGGGGGACACATTCAAACCTTTGAAGCATAAAAGGGGGCTGTCTTGTGAAACAAAACAACTACAAGGAAATGTGCTTTTATCCTGTCGAAACAAAACATTTGTATCTGTAATACTCAAGGTAAGTAAATCAATACTCAGCAACAATGCTTCTGCCTGGATCTAAAGAAAAACAAATCAGGCATATTTTCACTGATGTAAAATTTTTAAGAACTGTAGCGTGATCATATATTTGTCTATTACGCCATCAATACTTGCTGACAAGAATTTGCATACAAAATTGAAGGCTGCTTTGTCTCCTGCAAAGAGTATGATAAATTTCCTTAGAGGATAGTTTGTAAATCATCACTGTCTCTACAGTGATTCTTTTAAAGAAACTGTTACCAAACACATGTCCTTTATTTCCAAACTGGAGTATGGTGGCTCTCCCATGGTCAGATTACCTCATTTCTGGAATGTGTAAAAATGTAAGTAATTTTCTTTACCTCTAAAATAATAATATAGTCAATGACTTACAAATTAATGTTTGTCTTTCCTCAAATATGTTCATATGAGTAGTCAAACTCTTAAAACTTTTTCCTGTTCTAAGAAACTAGTCTGAAAAAGCTTGGTAATGTCCACACTAAATTTATCTCATTTTATAAGGAAACCACCTATTTGAAAAGGAAATTTTAGAAACTTCACTTTCTAACAGAGAAGTGTTAGAAAGAACAGAAATAACCACCTGAAATATAAAGGCCTTAGCAAGTGCTGAAATTCTCTCCGTGACTGTTGTTCTTGGACAGATTTTGTGCCAAAGAAATGAATACTGAATCTATTTATCTTTAAACCTGGATGCCTGTTAACTAGAGAACCATTATATCCGTCTGTACTTAGTGACAATGGTGTTGCTAAATTTCTTTTATACCACTGCATGGTGTTTAGAGCATAGATTTTTTTTTTTTAGACAGACTGCCTGGATAAGAATCCCAGTTTTGAGGCCCGCAGGCTTTGCGGTTAAGGCACTGTGCTCCCACATGTCTGACCAGGGTTCGAGTCCCAGACCTGGAAGCTTGCTTTTTCATTCTCTCTCTCTCTTTCTGTCTCACTTTTCATCTCTCTCTCTGGTGAGTGTACATCCCCTATAGCTAAAAATAATAGCAATTTAAAAAATAATAGCAATAATAAATAAAATTAAATAAATAATTCTTAAAAAAATAAAAAAGAACCCCAGTTTTATCATACGCTGTTTTTATCACACCAGGCAGGTTATTGAACCTTTCTTATCTTATTTTCTCATTATAAGATGATTATAATAGTATTTAGCTCTGAAGGTGGTGATCAGGTGAAAATAAATGAATTCTCTGTGAAGCACTGTGTAGCTCATAGTAAGTATTATGTGTGGGTTACATAAATGAATAAACTAAAGACATTTCCACAACTGGAGAAGAAAGTGATGAAAATTGTTGCACTATTGAATTGATATGATTGGATTTTTATCATTTTGTCATCAAAATAAGAGCTAGAAACCATTTAAGTGTGACTGATAAACATTTAAAAAATGTCCTTAGTTGTGTAGATTACGGAATAAAAGCCATAGCATAAAAGTCACTAAGCTTGCATATTTTTAAAAAAGCATGTTTCTTGAATTGTTTCTATTAATATGAAACTGAAACTGTAAATCAATTTCTTTCATGCACTGAATATGGCATAGCTCAAAGATTCTTGGAATATAGCATAAAGAACTAACCTACTACAGATTTTATTTATAAGATGTGTGAGATCATGCTTTGAGGAAAGGAAAGTTAAAAAATGCAAGCTGAAGGAAACAAAAGAATAAAAGAAAAAAACACTATAATTCTAGTAGATGCCAGAATTCAAAATTAATTATCCTTCTTGAGTGTTGTAGAATTTGCTTATAACTGTATTTTGTCACTGAGTTCTTTCTTATAGCAAACTTTCTTCTATTCTATTGTTAAGCCTTAGAAAGCAGGATTCTTTCTTATATTTCTTTTTTGTCTATGTAATAAACATAAAATTTTCTTATTCACTGAATATCTAATTAGTACATAGACAAGTATAGTAAATGATACTAAATATTTATACTATATACATATATATGTATATATAGATACAAATATATTCAATAGAAACTGAGTAGGAAAAATATATTACAAACTAAGTATTTATTATCATTCAGTATGAAAGTTTTAGAGATGGAGAAAACTTAAGAAAAATCCATTTTTCTCCTTTAATTTCATACAAGAACTTCATTAATGTTCAAAAGCAATGTGATTATCCATGATTCCCCAAATGTGTAGCTTAAAAGTTGAAGTCATGCCAAATACATTGTTCTGTGCCCACTAGATCCTGTTTTATATTCTGGGTTTACATGAATGCTACATTTTCTGATCACTTCTCAGTGACACTGGTCCCATGTGACTGGGATATGAGCAGAAGCCTTTTTTCATGCCTGGCCATAAAAATCCCAGTTTGGTTGTTTGCTTTGCCTTTTAAGGTGATTTTTGAAGACTGTTTTTTAAAGATGGAAACATTAAAACAGCAGAAGAATTTGGATGCCTAGGTCACTGGTTAGAAAGGAGCCTCCTAGGAGAGCTTCCTGACATGTCCTATAAGGACATAGACAAGAATTAACATTATTCCAAGTTAGGTGAATCAGATTTCCTGTTTGTTATGCAAGATAGTCTATTCTATTTTGCCTAATGTGGAATTTTTCTAAGTGATAATTTGATTCCTCTAAATAGTTGATATGAATATGCTCACAAATTTCTCTCCATTTTTACATTCCCATGCTTTAAAATAAATAAATAAAATTTTATTTGTTTCTTCAATGAACTAGAGAAAGAGAAAGACAGCGTATAAGAGAGCTACAGAACTCACAAAATCTACATCCAGCTTCAGCCAGTCCTGAATCGTAGGTACACGCATACCTGATATACTCAGAGGTATCTCTAGAACTGAACTGCAAACCTTCCCATTTGGGCCAGCCTCACAGGGTGTCACGTTTTACCATTACACCACCAACTGGCCCTATATGCCCACATTTTGAGAAAGGAACAACCTTTTTTAGCATTAAGACACATTTTTTAAAAGAATTATTTATTTATTATATTCCATTTGTTATTACTATTCCTTTAATTTGACCAAACAGAGACAGAAAGAGAGAAAGAAAAGGAAAGTGAGAAAGCAAGCTGCCAGGTCCGGGACTGGAACCGTGGTCGGCATGTGGGAATCCAGCATCTTTAACCATCATGTCACCTGCCAGTCCCATGACACAATTTTTTTTTTAATACTTTATGGTTTTATTTAGGTTATAAGAATATGTAAACATTTATATAAAGGACTTGTTTTGGCAAAAAGTATTGCTATCAAATTTTACCAGCTAATTTTCTTTAAAATTTTGTCCTATTCATAACTTGGATAATTTTTCTAGTACTGGTGAGTGATAAGAAATAGGGCAACACAGATGCTTCTTTGTAAAGTTTAATTCTTACTGGTTCTAACAAAATTTGTTTCTACTTCAACAATAATAGAAGGTAGTAATATATTTTGAAAATCACAAAAATTGGTGCTGAAATATCTGTGCAATTCTAAAATTTATCTATTGACTTTTTTATTTCAGTGTTAAGTGATTTATGGACTCAAATTTTTGAGATAAACATTGTCTCTAATGTGTTCTCATTTTTAATTATTACTGAAATACAATCTTCCTGGGATAATGACTCAATGTTATATAAGGTTGTTATATATGAATTAAAATAAACCAGTATATTTCTTAGAAACTCCCCTAAATTGTATACATATATATAGATATATATGTACCTATATTCATCTGTGTGTGTAGGGAGAGAAAGAGAAAAATAAAAATGTAATAATTATTTTAAATAAAAATCAACACATAGAACTCAACATAAAATGGCATTTCCTATCTTAAAGACTTAAAATTCTTCCCTGAGTTATTTCTTTGGCAAATTGGAGAAAATATAATCACAGACTTATTGCCCATGATATATTGTTGAGCAGAAATGCAGACTCTTTTTTAATTTAAATTTAAGCAAAATTGATAACAGTAAACATATATATATGATATATATATATATATATATACAACACATAATTAAATCAAATCATGCATATTTATTTTCTAAAGAATTCACATAGTGTTATTACTATTTTGAATGCATGAAATTGAAACTAATTTTAATAATTTAAATGACTTTGTAAACTTGGGGATAGGATTTAGATTTTGCATCAGTACTTTCCTAACAACTTGTACACGTTCCTGTAAAAATGGAACTCTAAATACAGAATTTAATTGATTACTGTTATTAATATTTTAGGGCTCCTGTACAAAGTAACATGAACTACGTCTCTTAAAAAAATAGAAATGTATTCAATCAGTTCTGGAGGCTAGAAGTCTAAATGCAAGGTGTTTAGTGGGGCCAGGTTCTCTCTGAATGCTCTAGGGAATAATATGTCCCATGCCTTTCTCTTACCTTCTGCTGTTGCCAGATGTCCTTGGCATTCTTTAGCTTATTGACACATCCCTCCAGTTTGCCTTTGTTGTCACATGATGCCCTCCGTGTATGTCTGTCCTTTATCCTCTTTTTTAAGGCCACTATGTTGGAGTAAAGGCCCACGTTACTCTAATATGACTTCATCGTACTTGATTATATATACAAAGAATCTATTTCTAAAGTATATTAAGTTCATAGATATGCAAAGATAGGACTTGGACATTTCTGGGAGGGGGTACAAAATTTAACCCATAGCAATCACATATGTCATCCTGGTCAATTTCTATTTTGGAAATAGAGTTTTGGGGGTAATTAAATGAAAATGTGAATCCCAAAAGCATGAAGGACATAGTGAATTATTAAGTAAATTTAAGTCACTATCATTTTTGCTATTACTATCACTACCTGATTTCATTAAATAGTTCAATAACGGGACTGAATTTTTCTCTAATTTGTGCAATAGGTAGGCATTTATCGATATAATATGATAAACATATTCTCGATGAGGGTTACTTGGAAAATATGGCCAGTATTCAATATACAATTAAACTATAAGATAGATAGATATAGGTAGGCAGATAGATGTAGGCACATATAAGCAAATATGAAATCAGTAATATCAATATTTTAACACTCTACTTCAATTCTCAGAGTATTTAAAATGATATACTATGAATTGCTGAGGAGGATGAGAGTAATTGTGTATAGTAGTTTTCAAACTTATCACCCATGGAACATTTTTTACAGCATATTTTGGGAAAGTAATATCCTCTAGAACATGCACTGAGGGGTCCACAGGTGGTGTGGTAGTTAAGGCACTGGAGTCCCACATGACCAATCTCAGTTCAAATCCCAGATGTGGTGGCTTACTTGCTCACTTTCCCTTTCTCTCCATCTCTCTTTGGTCAAATTAAAAAAAATAATAAATTAAATTAAATTAAAATTTTTTAAAAAAGAACATGCGTTGAGAAATAAAGTACAAAAACATAGTTAATTGAGATTCCAAATAAATATAAAACCCTAAAGAACATCAATATGGCTTAAGTTCTACAAATATTGATGAAGAATTTGACATCTTGGATATACACTTTTCTAGACAAATCATTTTTTAAAAGGTATTCACTTGCGGTCCAGCCATGGTAATGTAGCAGTAGCTCAATTCTGCAAGGCTGGAAGCCATATGGAAGACTATGGTTACGCTGTGGACACTTGTGTGTGCATATGTGCATATGCCCATCATCTGGGCTGGCTGGGCAAGCTGCAGGAGGATTACAGCATGAGACTCTAATAAATAAATAAGTTGGAAAAGTTATTAGAGTATTCTGGCTGACAAATGTAGCAACTTCTTTTGTAGAGATTTACTGCTGAAATTATTTGAATTAAACCAAACAATAGAATGTTTTGGTCAACACTTTATTTTCTTTTTAATTTTGTTTTATTTACCAACAATTTTCAATTGAGTTCCTTAATTATTTGATAAATATTTTTACATTGAAAATAATACCCAATTAATCTTTCTTAAAGAAAAAAATATTTATTAGTTACTTTGGAAACATATAGCTATTTATTTTATTTATTTATTTATAGAGAGATTCTGAACATTGAATGCGTGTACTCAGGCAAGATATTTTTTTCTCTGGTTTTTCTCTTTCTCTTTTTGGCCAAATAAGAAAATGTGATACTAAAGCCTTAGGAGGCTTTTATGTTTTTGTTTGTTTATTTGTTTAAATCTGAATATTATTTTTAAAATATTTTTAATGTTGTTCTTTACCCCAAACTACTAGACTTGTCTTTTTATTTGTCATTTTGTAGCAAATTTTCAGTCATATTGAAACAAAGGGTGGGAAGCATTATTATTACTTTTTGTTATTTTGGCTCAAAGTAGAGTCACGCAGGGGGAGACAAAGGGAAAATTATGTCTATGCCCACCCACAACTGGAAAGCCTTCCTAAATTAAAGTAATTAAAGCCCAGCCTCTGGCTTAGGTTGTGGGTGTAAACCCCAGAGATAACATAAAAACAGCCTTTGGGCATTCTCTGAGAAATAAGATGTTCAATCAGATTCCAAGAACTCAAGAATATGTGTTTTACAAGAGGGAAAGCCAAAATTCAAACTTTCCTGAAAGTACTGCAAATACCATATTTGGAAAGTTGATCTCATAAACTAAGAAAAACAAAATAAAGGAATGATTTTTGCATCCTACTATGCCAGTTAAGGGATATATTACAGTATTTTCTCCTATTTTTCAGAAATATGACTGAATTAAAGAGGAAGATTTGACTAGTAATTAAAGTGCTATTCCTGGTTCTTTTAGTAATAAGCCTTGTTTGGTTACTTGTAAAATAAACCAGTTTTCAAGAGACAGCAATCATTACTCTCATGTGTTTCCTGTAGTATTTAGAAGTTTGGATTAGTGGTTTCCTTTCCCTTCAAGTAAAACTGTTGGGTGGTGGCAAATGTATCTGCTTAAGTTGCTGAGAACCACCCCAATGTGCAGGGAGACTACAGATACCGTATTTTCTCTATGTAGAAAGCTATCTGCATATTGATTTCTTTATAATTAAGACAGAGTAGAGTTTAGAGATGAGATCATACATGTCAATTAGTATCACTTTTGTCCTTATATAAATTTTTTTACATATTTTAATGTTATTTCAAAATTATAAAACAGAAGCAATGGCATTTTATTAAATCTTACATTTAAAACAATTTTTAAACATTTTTTGATCTTGCTATAGTGAAAATGAGCTTGCTAAAAAGAGAGAAAGAGAGAGAGAGAAAGAGAGAGAGAATAAGAAAGCACCCTTAGGTAATATGCCACACTGCAATCTCTTCTCCATTCTCCTCCAGGGATTTGGGGCACACATGTACACACTCTTTTGCTCTCAAACCTGAATATCCATCCAATCACTCCTTAGGGGGGATGGTCACACTGTAATCCTTTATCTTTCAGTCTCTTCTTGGCATTTTGGGCAGCCTGATGTTAGTTTCAAGTCTCCCGGTCCGGAACTCTAACTACATTCAACTATGTGGGAGCCCATTGATGTAACCATTATGGCATCTACTGGGTCCTCAAGTCTTTCTATAACCTCTGTATGACAGAAATTACTGACAATGATGAGATAAATTAATAGCTCTATTAATTTATTTGAGACAGATTCACTGGTTAGGGTAGACATTTCATAGTAATATATTAAAATAAATTGACAATATCTGGACAAAGATATCTCCCAAAAACATGGTAAACATATTGGGTAGCTGGGAAAGTCATAATGCATTATTGCATATAAAAACAGAACAATGTGTCATGACTTTCCAAACGACCTAATAGTATACACTGTTTGTCATGATATGTAACATTAATTTGTAAAGAAAAACCAAGGAACTTTATAGAGAAAAAATAATTACGTTTTTTATTTCAACTGTTTTATTTTCTTTTTCCCAAAGAAAAATAATAATCAAATATTTAGAAAATATCTAGGAAGTTTAGGATTGTTAAGTGGATAAAAAGTACCCAGGAGCTGACTGCAAATTAGTATTCTCTCCATAACTTCCAGAATATTCTATGACTTCTGTCTTCTCCCTGGTCTTAAAGTTCATAGAAGAGACTAATTATTAGATATGCTGTCAATAGCAGGCTTATTTCTTGTCAAGATGGTATAGTCTTTCTATCTTCCCAAAAAACTTTCCTACCAAGCATGACTCCAAACCCTGGAAATAACACAAGAGGCAATCAAAGGAGAACCCTAACTGGTTGTAAGAAAACGAACACTTGGAACCCATGATTTGAGAAACTACATGTTGCCAGAGCATCTCATTTTCCATTACCCAATAAAAGGTGAACTAAACCTCTCATTTCCTTCAAACTAGCAACAGAAGGCAGCCCACTTAGACTTATTTCTTCTCAGTATAGAATGTGAATCCCTCTGAAAACGTTGGCAAGCCCTACTGTTAGGAATATGAATTAGAATCTCTGACAAGAGTAAGGAGCCATCATGAGTGCATGCTCTCTCTCGTTTATTTATTTATTTATTTATTTAGTTAGTTAGTTAGTTAGTTAGTTAGTTAGTTAGTTAGTTAGTTTTAGCCATAGGGCATGTATACTAGCAGTAGAGAGATAAAGAAAGAGAGAGAGAATGTGAAAAATTCTCCCCCCCCCCTCAATACCCCCTCTCCGCAGAGGATGGCCATGCCACAATCCCTTCTCCTCCATTCTCCTGGGACCAGCCATGCTTTTCAGGCTGTCAATCTGGTACTCAAACTATGGTCTGCCATGTGGGAATCCAGTGCCTTAACCACCATGCTACCTACTGGTCCAGTAAGTGCTCTCTCGAAATCCTCCCAGTCTCTTTTAGAGACACAATGAGACAGGTGAACTACAACAGCAAGAGGCACTTAACCACTACAAGTAGTTCAGCTTGGAAACCTCTTTGTTGTGACAGGTCTAAGACTCTGCTCTGCATTTTTCTAATGGCTACTGATATTGAACTTCACTTCCTGTGCTTATTTGCTTAAATAACCAAATTGCTCTTATTCTTTTGGTATGAAAATTGTATTTACAGTAATATTGGCCTGTCATTTGTATTTATCAACCTACTTTTCCTTCTTTATTTTACTTTCAACCTTTTTAGGTCATATTTTTGATATGTAAATAGTTACTTGTATGATTCTGTAGTCTTACATCTATATTTTTAATTTGCATACTGGGTATTATTACATTAGTTGTGGTTGTTGATATTTTCAGATTGACTTCTATAATCATACGTATACTTTTAAAAAACTTTGTCTACTGGACCAGCCAGATGGATAGGTAATTAAGGTAGCTGTATTCCACATGGCCAACTGCATGGTTTGAATCTTGGGCATGGTGCCTTAAAATTATGTCAGGCACATGTGTGTGCATGCCCCAACCCTGAGATATTGGAGGAGAGGGGATTGTAGTGTGACCATCCCCCCAGGACAGGGTGGTAATTTCTTACTTTCTCTCTCACTGTCTTTCTTTGTCTCTTTCCAGTAGGTACATGCACCCTATGGAAAAAAAAAAAGTAAAAAATAAAACAAAACAAACCAAAAAAAATCCAGGCAAACAAAAAATTCTAAA